ATATATATACATTCTAAAACCTGTAGGATTTTTGTTTTGTTTTGTTTTACATTACTGGGAATTAAACCCAAGGGTGCTTTCTGTATCTCTAACCCTTTTTATTGTTTAGTTGGAGTTAGGGTCTCACTAAGTTGTTCAGGCTGGCCTTAAACTTGAGACTTCCTCTGTCAGTGTCCCAAATAGCTCAGATTACAGGTATGTGCCACTGTACCCAGCTAAATTTGATCACTTTTCTGACAGAGATGCACATTTGATTATAGAAAATAATTTTTTAAGCCTAAATACGTTTGACAGACCAGATACCTATTACTAATGTTAATACACATTTTACTCTGTATTAATGTAGAAATGTTTATGATTTTTCTTTGTAAAAGGTGTCACATGATTCTATTTAATGTTCAAATTATTTTTTTAAATAATGTAAGGCAGTATCAGGTGGCCTACACCTTCTGCAGTTATTGTAGCTATACTTTCTACCTTATTTGTAATTTAATGTTGTCAATTAACAAAGAAATAATGGGTTTCACTTCTTGTTAAATGTTTGCGAAATGCTTCTTGCTCTGCTGCATATAACAGAATATTCTAGTGGGCCATGGAGTGTAGCTATCATTTTAAGCCTTCCTCTCTTCAACTCTTAAGAAAACTGTGCGACCTTTGATACTGTAATAGAAGTTAGATAGGAAAATGTATACTCACAGCTAATGCTCCTGATACTCATTTTATACAGGAAGCAACCCTGGGATTAACGCTACTGACAAAGCTATGGAAATAGTGAAACAAGCTTACTTGGTCTGTTTTGTAATTGTATTGTCCTAAACAGATTGCTCGCCTCTGTAACTACAGTTCAGCTCAGACCATCAGATAGACATATGCCTGGCACTGACTGACTTTTTTAAAGAAAAAGTAGAGCCTGACACCTGACATTAAGAACTAGGAGTGTGCTGGCTGCAGTGGCACATGCCTATAATCCCATACACTCCAGAGCTGATGCAGGATTGCAACTTTGAGGCCAGCCTAAGCAATTTAGTGAGCTCCTGTCTCAAAATAAAAAAACAAATAAATAGGGCTGGGGATTTAGCTCAGTGGCTCTGCCGCCTCGCCTGCCTCACAAGCCCAAGGTCCTGAGTTCTATCCCTGGTAC